TTATTTATTTATTGTTAACATGCTTGGAAATAGGAAAAGAGGCTGCATCAGAAAAGTGCAGTACATTAAAAAATAAATAAATTTATTTAATTTATTTTTATTTTTGGCTGCTTTGTGTCTTTGTTGCTGCCCGCGGGCTTTTCTCTAGTTGTGGTGCGCGGGCTTCTCATTGCGGTGGCTTCTCTTGTTGTGGCTCGCGGCCTCGAGGCGTGCAGGCTCAGTAGTTGTGGCGCACAGGCATAGCTGCTCCGCGACATGTGGGATCTTCCTGCACCAGGGCTCCACCCCGTGTCCCCTGCATCGGCAGGCGGATTCTTAACTTTGCCACCAGGGAAGCCCCAGTACTTTTATTATTAAATCCACCTCGGGGCTTCCCTGGTGGCGCAGTGGTTGAGAATCTGCCTGCTAATGCAGGGGACACGGGTTCGAGCCCTGGTCTGGGAGGATCCCACATTCCGCGGAGCAACTGGGCCCGTGAGCCACAACTACTGAGCCTGCGCGTCTGGAGCCTGTGCTCCGCAACAAGAGAGGCCGCGATAGTGAGAGGCCCGCGCACCGTGATGAAGAGTGGCCCCCGCTTGCTACAACTAGAGAAAGCCCTACGCACAGAAATGAAGATCCAACACAGCAAAAATAAATAAATTAATTAATAAACTCCTACCCCCAACATCTAAAAAAAGAGAAAGTTATAAATCCATCTCGTCTCCTTTTATGTGACTCCTTGCCAGAAAAGAAATGGCCTAAGAATTTCCACGTGCCTGATTTGACATTTGTAAGAAGTCTTATAGTACTTTGATTTCACAAATATATTACCCAAAGTAACAGGTTTTTATAACCCTTGCCCTTTAAGGAGCCCAAAACTAATCTCAGAGGGAAATGACAAACCTTGCAAAAAATTATAAATATTATCTCTCTCCCTTGTATTGTCTTGTGGTGTCGCTTAACTGAAACTCCCCAGTCTGTGACCTTGAGAAACCTAGAGGGCTAAACAGGAGGAGTAGAATATTGAAGGTCGTCCCCTCCACAGCTACCCAAAAAGGGGAGCAAATATTCATTATAACAGGTAAGTGTTTTTACAATTATGGCAGATGGTGATTGAAGCAAAGGCAATTCAGAAGGGGAGACACACGAAAGCAATAATTTTGAATGTTTGGCATTTGTTTTGAAACTACCTTACTACCCTACACCCTTTACCATCTGTCTGTTATCCCTCCCAACACCCACCTCTGTCTTCCCACAGGGCTCCATTGTCTGCAGTTCCTGTTTCTCAGGGGCGGAGCTGTGGGAGGCAGCCATGGGTGCCATAATAGGCACCTGCGGCCAGCACAATGGGCTGTGGGTGCTTGTGGGAGAGACAGATTGATGTATTGTGCATGGGGGAGGAGGGCTGTCACTTGAATCCATGTGAACCCAGGCTTTAGGGGCAAGGGAGATTGACAGCTTTTGTAGGTTGCATTTCTTTTTCAAAGCTTGGCTTTAATAGACAGTAAGTTTGGGGCCCCAGGCTTTCACTCCCATAATTCTAACAGGGCAATCACGAGTATTCAGCATTTCTTTTTACCCCCCTTGTTACGCATTAAATGATTTCAGTAAAGGAATGTGCAGCATTAATTAGAATTTGTTAGCAGATACCAAGGGGAAAAGTTTCTTCACAACAACTATAGGAGGTGTCATTTGTACAAAGACTTTTTTGTTTTCTTTCCCCATTACATTATCACTGCAATATGTAAGGTAGTGATTCTTTTCATTTAAATTAAGTGGAAAGCTACTAAATCTTGTTTTATTCTCCAAAAAGAATAAGGTCCTTAACACTTATCTTTTAACTTCTTTCATTTCCTAAGGTTGGTGTTTACTTTTGCTTTCAGTCCGACCCATGTACTGATCTGTGTGGTTGTGTATCCAGTTTTGTGTGCCATTCAGCTCTTACAATTACAGGCAACCAAATACTGATATGTAAGGATTGCTTCAGGTGAAAATAGCTACCAGTAATATTGAAAATCATTGACACACTGGGTCCCTTTTCGGTAATGGTACATTGAGAACTGCCAAAAATTAGACTCCTAGGTTTGTGTCCTAACTTATTTCCTAAAACTAATTTTCCCTACTTGATATTTAACCTTAGCTATGACATCAGATTCATGGAAGAATGGGGCAGTGGCCAAGGAATATTTTTTTCCTATAGAAAACTCATTCCTAAACTGTGTCAGTATTTTAAACATCAAAAGTACTTCCATCGAAACACACACAGATAGCATCATTTCCTTACAGCTAGTTAAGATGATCTTTTTTTTGGTTTGGTTTGGTTTCCATTTTCTATTCTTTTTTTAAATTCCTCACATTTTAGACGTTTATAGGAGAAAAACCTCAGATAGGTTATCTTGTAAACACACTCTTTGCAATCCGAGGCACTGATAAAACAAAAATTTTTGGCCTGATTTTTCTGAATTCTCTCTCGTATAAAATCATTTTCTCTATGGAAGGAGTTGGAGGCTAATTGAATTAGAATTTTTCCCGTTCAGTTGTTTTATTTAAATGTGTTAAGGGCAACAGTGAAAAATATTGATTAAGTCTACCATTATTTCTCAGAAAGAACATATTCCCACACAGTTGTCTGGCTCTGTCTATTATAATACTTTGGTGCAATGGTTTAAAAAGTAGTGGGGTGATAATAATTAGGGTGTGCGACACAGAAATTTCAATGCTGGATTCAACATTTCACCATGCAGGGCAGGAAAATTGCCGACCGGGGCTAGTCAGCTCTAAGTACTAATTAACTAATTAATCAGGAGCTGAAACCAAATGAATGGAGGATACCAGCCAGGCAACTCAAGCCCAAGCAGAGGGTTGTTCTCTTTCAGACAGTGCAGTCTTTCTTCTTGGTTTTTAACCCAATCACAAATGAGGGGAGAAAATAAGATATGGTGTCCTACTGTCGGTCATTTCGGTCCAAGTTTTTTACTTAGAGAAGATAAAATAAAAGCATGTGCCTCTTATAATAACCGTGAGGCACCATGTACAGGGCAATCTTAGCGCTCTAGCAAACCTGCTATCTCCTTGACCATGAACTGTTTCAGGGCTGGTATATGTGGGTGTGTGTAGGGCAGTGGGGGGAGAAGGCTCTGCCTTCTTGGGAGTTTTCTTCTACAATTTTTTTTTAACATAGGAGAATGAGAAACGTATTCCTCCTTTCTGGGCTGATCTTAGGTTTTTTGCCTCATCCCTCGTTTATGTAAATGAGAAGAGTCCAATTACACATATGGAAAAAGGGTTTAATGAATCGTGAAAAAGCCCAGTTTGCAGAGAAAGGGCACAATCCCTTCTTCTTCTTCTTCTTCTTCTTCTTCTTCTTCTTCTTCTCTTTTATATTTAACTTAGAAACATGTATATCTTTCAAGAAAGATGAAGCTTAATGTTTATATCATTTTTATATACTAAGTTTCATATTTGGGAATTATTGAGCATATTTTGCTAGAAGATTTAGCTTCCTTTATCTTTGGAAGGCTTTCTGGAGACTTAGCAAATATTCTACAACAAAAATTGCAAAACTTTTTTTCTAAAATTAAAAAAAATTATTACGTTGGTTCCTCCCATTTTTGATGTTATTCTTAGCTTAGTGATTTTTCTTAACACAGTTTGATCTGGAATTGTCTGCAATGAAAAAAGGACTGCATCATTACAAGGGGTTGTAACTGAACCCAAGGAAAAGACTTCAGTATCACATACAGTTTTAGCTCAATTTTGGTATTCTTATGGTGTTTTAAGTAGCTAGAATTTTTGGAGTGTTGTAAATTAGGTAAACTTTTTTTTTTTCTTTCCTAAAAGGCACTGAATTTTACACTGGAGCAGAAAATCCCGCGTTTGGGATTTCATTTTCCTGTTTTCTTTCCTCTTCTTCATCCTGGAATTTTCAGTAATTGAAAGTAAACCACAAATAAAACCCCCCAACCCATTTCTTTTTTATGACAAAAAACCTTGAAAGAATATGAGGGGAAAAAAATCAATGCCATTTCTGACCGTAACTCTTAGAATTTGATAAGTATGCAACTAGCCTGGAAGAGGCGCTTTACAGGGACAGCAGTAAAGTTCTAGATCACGACTGGAAGTGCTTTCCGGAGACCTAATCCAACAACCTTGTTGGGCACTTGGGGAAACTGAGGCCCGAAAAGCGGGGGAGGGGGGGCCGGGGGGGAAATGACTGATGTGATTTTTTTTTCCTTTACAAAATTACTGCTACGATCCACGGAAAACACTTTTCCTGGGCACCTACTGTGTGGGGGGCATTGCTGGGATTCAGACTGCCTGCCTATTCACGAGGGCCGTGCTCTTTCCACTCTAACCCCCGGCCTTCCCGGATCGGCGCCCTGGATGTGATCGACACCATGAAGTTGCCCCATAATCCTCTCTGGCAACATAGGATGTAAAATTTGATCAGCTCATTGGATGAAGCCGACAAGTCTCAAAAATGTGTGAAAAGGGGGCCAAGCGGTAGGCAGGCGCCGCGTTGAGGCAGCGCTCCAGCCGGCCCCCCTCCGAGTTCCCAGAGCGGCAGCCGCGGCGGAGCGGGGGTTGGGACCGAGCTGCGGGGCCGCGGCGGCGGCGACCGAGCGGCCGCGGCAGCTCCGGGGAGGCCGCGGCGCCGTTGGGGGGCCGTAGGAGCGGACCGCAGGGCCGGAAGGGGGCAGTGAGGCGGCGCCCGCGGCTGCGGAGTTATCTCCGCGCCGTAGCCGGGGGCCGGGCCGGGCCGGGCGGGGCGGGGCGGGGCGGGGCGGGGCGGGGCGTGCACCAGGGCCGCGGGCGGCGCGCGCCGGAACAGTTGGCCTCCGAGCCCCGCCGCCCGCTCTCCCGCCCGCCGGCGCACGCGGAGGAGGTGGCGGTGGCTGAGGCTGCTGAGGCGCCGGCGGCGGCTGCAGAAGGAGGAGGGGAGCTCGGAGCAGGAGGTGAGGTGGAGGTGGAGGAGCAAGAGTAGGCGGAGGAGGAGGCGGCTGTAGCGGAGAGGAGCGGCCAGAAGAAGGAGGATGGAGGAGCAGCCGAAGGAGGGCGAGGCCGAGGGCGAGGAGCACTGGTTCTCTAAGTGGGAGCGCCAGTGCCTGGCCGAGGCTGAGCAGGAAGAGGAGTTGCACCCCGATATGCAGGAGGAGGCGACCCCTGAGGCGGCGGGGCTCAAGAGCGAGAAGCAGAAGCTGTGGCACCTCTTCCAGAACTCAGCTACCGCTGTGGCCCAGCTCTACAAGGATACGGGGTGCCAACAGCCAGGACTCTCCTTGTGGGACCCCTTCCAGAGTGCGGCCATGGCTGTGACCAGCCTCTACAAAGAGAGCGGGGATGCCCACCAACGAAGTTTTGACCTGGGCGTCCAGGTTGGCAACCATCGTCGCGTCAAAGATGTGCTGGAATGGGTGAAAAAGGGCCGGAGCACCATTCTTCGAGAAGATCTGATTAGCTTCCTGTGTGGCAAGGTGCCCCCCGCGACTCCGCCGCCGCGCACCCCGAGGACGCCCCCGAAGCCACCCGCCGGAGCCCCCAGCCAGGCCGCGGCCACCGAATCCGGCTCGTCGGTGGACGTTGACCTGCAGCCGTTCCACGAGGCCATCGCCCTGCACGGCCTCAGCGGTGCCATGGCCAGCATCAGCGTGCAATCTGGAGCGCCCGGCTCCCCGCCTCAAGGCAGCGGTGTGGCCGGCGACGGCCACCGAAGAAGTAGCTTCCTCGAGGACGACTCGAACCCCATCGACTCCGAAGAAGTGGCCCTTCACCTGGACAGTGGGGGGACCCGCAAGCGCACCTCGGCCCAGTGTGGTGATGGCGACACAGACTCCCCAACCCACAAGCGCAACCGAATGATCTAAACTGATCTAAACCACCTCGTGGGTCGCCAGCCACCATATTGCTCGGCCATCAACTTGCTCGTCAAAAGGGTTCTTGAGACTGTCTCTTCCTTCTCTAAGTTAAACAAAGAGTTCTATCAGTTTGCCACAAAGAAACTTTAAAAGTATACCAGGACAGGCATCGTTATGACTCTGACTTTCCCAAAAATATAATACTAGCAGAGAACAAGTATAATGTAGTAGTTAGCAAGACCGTTTAATGCAGAAGTATCCGGTCAAGCGGGAGCTCGGTTTATCTTGTTCACAGTTATATTTCTTAGCATCTGGCTCAGTTGCTGGTGCTTAATAAATGTTTGTTGACTGAATAAATGTGACCTTATTTAAAAGTCTTGAAGGGGAAGGACTAACAGGTGTTTGCTTGGTTATAGGATACTTTTATCCTTTATTGTTTGTTTGGTTGTTTGCTTTAACCGTTTTTGTTTTGTTTTGTTTTGTTTGCCAGTTCAATTACATGTTATCAAAATGAAAAACTTGATATTTTTGTGAAATCTGGAGTTTTCCATTTTTGCTCCACTGTACCATGCACCTAATTTCTAGAAAGAAACTGCAAGGTGTACATATTAGCCTGTGAGTTTTCTTTTTTAAAATAGTCATTTTGGTGATTATGTGATGGGGTAAAGTGCTATGATGGTTGGGCAGGTAATACTTGCTATTGATTCAATTTAATGCTCTTTTTAGGAATATTAAGCCAACAATTGAGAGCCTGAGATCAAAGATGGCATTCCTGGTGGTGGTCCTTTTTCTTAGGGATATAAAAAGTTCCTTTTTCTGAAGTTAAATCTTTTTGGTGATTTCTGTTTTGAAGTGGAAGCCGAAGTAGAATGAATTCTGGGTTTTACTTAAGGGTATAGCATGATATAATTAAAAGAGCATGAGCTTTGATATTAAAAGGATCAACAGTAGAATCCTAGCCCCACAGATTCACTGCATGATTTTGGGCAAATCACTTAATGTCCATTGACCTCAGTTTTCCATCTGTAAAATGGAACTATGTGTCTCCTGAGGTCGTTGTGAGGGTAAGATGAAGTCCATATTTCAAGTACCTAGCACAATGCTTGGCACCTAAAGCATTAATGTTCTCCCCTCTCAATAAATAAAAATCAGTAAAACATTAAAATCCACTACATTTTAGAAAAAGCAGAAAAATAGATCAACTTAATCAGTAGAATCTCTGGGTTTGAGTTGGAAACTATTGTTATATAGTTGAAACTTGCCTAAATATCCCAGATCTTGTATTAATTATAAGTGTGTTTAGCTCATGAGTTCTCAGGATCATCCCTCTGGATGTTAGGGCAGACTTGTAGTTCCTAAAATTGCCTGAGGGATGCACCTTGCAGCTGGAGTAGTGAAAGATCTACCTCCTCTGGCCTGAAAGAATATGAGAAGCCTGGTAAGGACGGGAAGGGTGTGGAAGTGCAAGTCCTAGGGACACCTAAAAGGCAAAAGTGCTTCTGAATAGGGGTGAGGTGGAGTAGAGGTGATGAAAGGGGTAGACTGGGTGGGGTGGGGAGTGGAGGGGGTGGAAGTGAGGTTATGGAAGGGATGGGGGGAAGTTAGAACTTGCAAATCTCCCCAGGCTCTCCCTAAACCAGTGCATAAAATAGCAATAGTATAAATAGATGAGTAATACCTTGCCCTTAGGTTCACATCAAAGAGTTGTTTCTGTTTTTATTGGTGTGACCTTTGCAATAGATTTGTAATTGAATAAGTGCATTGAAATAATACAACAAAGTGAATTCCCTAATAGAATAAAAACTTGCTATTGAGACACTCCACAAGTACTTACTGAGGCACCATGCTAGGCCCCAAGAAAGGATGTTAAAAAAACAAAAACAATCCTTATGCTCACAGAGCACATCCTGGCTTGGAAGATAAATTAATGTAGTCCAGAAAGCACTTCTGATAGTATGCAAAGCACTGAAAGTCTATGCAGAGGAATTCAGAGGCCAGAGGCCTTCCTTACCAAGAGGGTCACAGCTTCTGGAGGAGGTGGCATTTGAACTGGTGCCCAGAAAAATAGGAAGGGAGGGCACAGGGGACACTAGCAGGGGAAAGATATCTAACAAAGTTTGAGAAGGAGAAAAACAGTAAACTGGGTTCAGGGGGTCACAGGTGCTGGGTAGGGGGAGGCAGGGGAGGTAGGGGCCAAAGTACAGGGGGTCTCAAATGCCCGGCTCAGTACTTTAGATTCTGTCCTGGGGCAGGGGGGTGACACCACCCAATCTGTGCTGTAGGAAAATTGGTCTGGCAGGATGCCTGGTTGTCCAGCGCTGACACACTGGAGCAGGGGATAACCAGGGTATCCCTGTTGGACGCTCTTTACTGGGGATGTTGCCATTTGGTTAACCAGGATTGTGGCGATATTTAACTTGACGGGGCTTTGTCTGGGAAGCCTTTGCTCACTTATACCCTCCCACACTTCAAACCATACCAGGTAGGCAGCACCTTCAGTGTATGTTCTGCACTGCTTCTAGGCTGAGAAAGCCTTCAGTTCCAGCTGCAGAATCTCTTGGGGGCTAGTCTTGAAGTAACAAAATAGCCATGCCTCTTATTCTTCTGCTGCTTGTCTTTGAGAGCCCTCCTCCAGGGAATCACTGGGGCATTCGGGCTGCAAGACTGACTGAGCCACCGCAGCAATTTTAACAGGTAGGTATAGAGAGTTGTAAGAGGGCATGTCAGTATGAGGGCAGGGACCTCATTTGTCTTGTTTCTTTCTGTAATCCCCAGAGCCTAACAGTGCCTGATCCACGGACACACAATAAATATTTATTTAATGAGTGGATGAGTAAGCCCTCATCCAGACCCAGTTATAGCTATTCTCCCTTTCTCTGTTTACCTACTGCCCAGGAAAGGCACCTGAAGCCCATGCTCTAATTTCTAGATGATTCTCCCCTGTGTGCGTTTTCCTAACTATTAGGTTCAGCATTTTGCAAAGTGTGGCCAATCCCATGACCACCTCCCTTGAGAATCCCCTGAGTTGCTTATGAAGCTGGCAGCCTCAGAAGCGCCTTCCAGGTGAATTACAATCTCAGTGGAAGGGTCCTAGAAGTGACCTCCTGTCTGGAGGAGGCCTCGGTGATCATGGTGCACAGTGAAGTCTGAAACTCCAGTGACCCCACTGTGAGATTCATGATTGATTCAAGGGGCTCATTTTACTATATGTGCTGTTGAAGCGAGCACTAAGGGGCTCATTTTAAATTGATCGTTGCTGGTGAACTTTCTGTGCAGGCTTAAAGTGAATCTCCCCATTTGTACATATTATCTTTATCGTGACTTTGCATATTTCATACATTTTTCTTCTAGGAGCACAGTTGAGAAGACTGAGGAAAAACAATATTAAGTTACTTATTTTGGTCCTTCCATAGGAGGCTGAGAGAAGGCTCTGACTTCCTCACCACTAGCTGAGTATTTTATCCATTAGACCATTGCTTCCTAATCAAAATTATGAACTGAGAGTCAGGAAACATTGCACTTAGATCACTTTGCCTTTTGTGAAATGATGATGGAGTAGAGGTCAGGGGAGGATTGGTTGTTAATCAGCCTGGGGCTTTGAGGAGGTTTACTGACCTCTTGCAGTAGCATGTGCTTGGTGGGATCCTTCCCAAATGTAGAACCAAGAGGGACCTTAAAGATCATCTAGGGCAGGGTTAACTATTCAGTTTACAAATGGGGCAACTGACCTCACTAGGGAGGGCCACAGTGACTTATTGGTAAGACTGCTGCCCCCTACCAGGTTCCAGTCCGTTGTTCACTTCCCTGGACCTCCCTTAGTCATATTGTGTATGGCTGTTTAATTAATATGTTGATGAGCAAGTGGAGCTAGGAAACTTGTACTGTTGTGAAGCCTCTCTTTACTCTGTTGTGTGTGTTTGGGGGAAGCTGTTAGAGTTGTGCATTCAGGGAACATGTCACCCCTTCCCACCACCACCGCACTCCAGCCACCAGCAAAACTGGGCCACTTAAAGTTTCCTGAACTTTTGATCATCGCTGGCCTCTGGGCCCTTTTACCTTATTGCTTCCTTGGGCTCTGATGCCCTGCCCTAAACTCCTTTTTGTCTACTTCACTCCAACTCAGCCTTCAAAGCTCACCTCAGACTTTACCTTTATTTTTTGGATACCTTCCTTGCCCTTCCAAGTTGGGATTAAATGGCCCTCCCCAGAGTTCCCACTTCGGACTTACCATTGTGTTTGTCAGCTTGTGTCTTTGCCCCACTAGATTGTAAACCACCAAGTTTCATCCCAAGAGGGTCTCTTTCCTAGGAGGTGTGTAAGAATCTCTATTACTGCGTGTGTAGGCTGAAAAGGAATATTCAACATTACACTATACTTTTTTTTAAATGAAAGAATTATTGTCATAAAATTATATTGTGGGAAGAAAAGCTCAAAACAAAACTTCGAAGGGGCGGTTTTATTCTATCAGATATTAAATGTGCTTCCCCAAAGAAGTGTAGCATATAAAATGTTATTAATGTTCTTTCTCATTTGTAGATATAATTGTACTATCTCAGGCTTCAGTGGCAAAAGCATACAGGATCCTGGCTTAAGCCTTGACTTTCCCAATAACTGACCTTGAACAAGTCAGCCCTTTTTCTGCTTGATATAGGGAATAAAGGAGTTAGTTGTATTAGATGATCTTTAAGGTCTGCACAAGCTCTGGCACTTTCTGATCTGTGATTTAATTCAATAAGCAGCGGTAGTGATAACCTTCTTTCTGTGATATTCTCATTTAGATTATCTAGTGTCTGACCAGCTGAGTTCTGTGAGCCCCTTGAAATCAGGACTGCCATCCTGAAACAATTCCAAACCAGGAGACTCACTTGGTGGTAGTGGCATGGCCACTTGTAAGATGGGAATGTATATGCACATAAGAAAGCTTACCTTTCTCTCTTTTGGTTCCGTCTTCCTTAGGAGGTCAAGAAGTTAAAAAAAATTTTTTTTTGAATACTTAAGGCGTATATTACAGTCAAATGCCTCCTTATTTGGGCACTTTCCTTTCTCAAATATAATAAGTTGATCAGGAGGTTGTTAAACAGAGAGATGAGTTCATAGACTCACTGGACTAAAGGGGGACCTGGAAGGCCACTGACTCCACATGGCCCAACTCTGGCGAGACCTGGCATACAAACCATCCTGGATCCATGAGCTGCTCTCCTCATCTTAAAGATCTTCTAGGAGAGTCCAAAGCCTTCCTCAGGAGCTGCCAAGCAGGTCTTTCAACCCCAGATTCAGTGTACTTGCCCTCCCGCCTAACTTCTGACAAGCTGGCTAACCGCCTCAGTGCAATAAGCCT